CCTTCCAGGACTAGAAAAGCTAGTGCTCAGGGAGATGACTTTTAGGTCAGACTTCTCTGAGCCATATGTCTGATGTGCCTGATGTCTTCAGCAATAGAGATTTACCTTTCCCCTTTGGGAGGCCATCAAAGGTGACACCAATGACCTATGCAGTTATTTAGAGTCTCCTGGACTCCCTGGAAATAACTAGAAAGGAGGGTTTTTGTGAGTGGGACTAAGGGTTTGTTAGATAGTCTATGGTTCTTGGGGAAAAAGGAGCATTATCACCCAAAGTGCATATATATATATATATATATATATATATATGCACACACATATACATATATACATATATATACACGTATATATACACACACAGTCATGTAATTTAAGGTAAACATAAGACAATACGATTCTTTATAACCTTTTTAAACATCCTCAGTGTTACTTATCCCTCCTCCCTCCATCTCCTTCAGACTCCTTTCTACCTCCCAGTTTAAAGCTCTGTTTTTCATATTTCCCTTTCCCTTCACATCGCCTGCATCCTGCTATTTCCTCCCTTCCTTATACTTTCCTGGTTTCTGTGCTTATTCTAGGTTATATATTGGATCTAAAGATTTGAAGTTCAGGAAACACAGATAGGAGAGAATGTGTGGCATTTGTCTGTAATACCTGGGTACTGGAGAAAGTGAGGGATTAAATCACTATCATTGGGTTGATGTCAGTCTGTGCTTGAATTCCAGCAGTATGCTTTTTAAAGAATTTGGTATTCTGAAGTTTGGTCCATACCTGTCCAGGATTATGATGTCTTCTTGGTTAATTGTCATCTAAGTCATTCATATTAGAGAATATTTCTATAGGCATAGTGGACTAGGTTACATCCTGCTTTGACCTTTCATATTGTTCATGTCTTTGTGATGAAGTCTGGTCATGTGGAGTTCTTTCATTGGTGTATTTCTCATGTGGACATAGCAGGCTAGCCTGACAAGCAGAATGTATATCCTGGCTCAAGCCGGCAGATTGGGGGTGGTATGGGCAGGGCTCCTCAGAATGGACCAGGGCATTGGATTTAGAACCTAGGCTCCGGCTGAGGACTGGGTTGTGCTCATGTTGGGTTGAATTAATAGGGCATAGGGCATTTTTACCAGAGTGGGCCAGAGTGGGCCAGAGCTAAGGCTGTTCTTGATTTGGAAGATGGATATGGAGTAGGATTCATTAGTCTAAGCTCTGGCAGATAGTTGGTACTGTTCAGATATGGGATGTGTGTCCTGGCCCAAACATGGAGGTTCAGTTTTCTACTTTTTAAAGCTGAATAATGTTCCATTGCATGTATCTGCTATATTGTCTTTATGTAGTCATCTGCTGAAGGACATTTAGTTGCTTCCACTCTTGGGTTTTTATAAATAATGTTTTAGTTAAAGTGGCTTTGCAAATAATACTTGATAAGTCACTTTTAGTTCTTTTAGGTATATACCAAGAAGTGGGATTAGAAGGGACTTTGTCTTCCAAACTTCATATATTGGAAACTTAAATACAAATTTAGCAGTATTGAGAAGTAGGACCTAATAATGTGATTCATCATGAGGGCTGTTTTTGCATGTAAAATTAATGTCATAACCAGATATGGTGGCTGACAGCTGCATGGAGAACTCAGCACTGGGAGCTTGGATAGGATTGCTAAAAGTCGCAGGCTAGCCTGGACTGGAATGTGAGCTCTAGGCTAGCCTGATCCAAAGAATGAGACCATATAAAAAATTCAAAACAACAACAACCCATATCAAATAATAACAAGTGAATGAATGAATGAATGAATAAATGAGTGAGTGAGTGAATGAACCCAAGTAAGTTTGGGCTTCTGGCCTGGTGGCACAGGGCTGTAATCTCAGCTGCCTGGGAGGCTGTGACCTGCCTGGACCATACAGTGGGTAGTCCACTGCTGGCACATATGAAGGCAGAAGGACAAGAATGTGCAAAGGCAAACTCAAGAGAGGGCTGAAGCTTGTTGTTTTCTTCATTTTGAAGCAGGGTCTTAGGAAGTTGTTCAAGTTGGCCTAGATCTGACTCTATGGCCCACATACCCAATCCATAAAAAGCGTATTGATGTGGGATTCCCCTCTGTATGCTATGAATATGTCTTATTACCATTGGTTTTTAAAGAAATTGTTTTGGCTAATGGCTTAGTAGAGTGCTGCTTTAATAACCAGTGGTAATAAAACATATTCATAGCATACATAGGAGAATTCCACATCACATTTACATAATCAAAGATTATGGACATGCCTGGTAGCTTGTGCTTGGTTATCTTTAGAGGCTGAGACAGTAGGACTGTATGAGATTTAGACTAGCCTGGGCTATATATAGTAAACTCCAGGTCAATTTGGGATACAGTGTGAGTTGCTGTCTCAAAAAACCAAAAAGAGAAAAAAGATAATGACTATTTTGTCTTAGATGCCTTGTACTTTTTAGCTTTTATGTATGTAGTCAGCTTTAATTTTAAAAAGACTAATTATTTTTACATGTGTAGTTAACCTAGGGGGTTTAGAAAAGGGTGTGAAGTCCGGTGGAGCTGTTGTTATAGGCAGCTGTGCGCCTCCATGGGAGTATGAGAAACTAGATTGCGGTCCTCTGCAAGAGCAGCCAGTGCTCCCTCGTATTTTTGCAGCCCCATTTTTAATGTTCTCGTACACTTGGTTGTCATATCACTGGCTAAAAAATTTCTGCTATTGAATTAATTTGAAAATTTTGTGGATGTTGAAAATAATTGTATGTACCTGAGATTGCTCATAGACCTGTACTCTTTTTCACTAACTTACATGTACTGTTACAGCATCCTACTGTTTGCTTGCTGTCTCTTTAGAGAAAATCCTTTAAAAGGTTTTTTTTTTTTTAAATTAGGCTGATTGTGGTGGCACACGATTTTAATCCCAGCATTCAGGAGCAGATCTCTGTGAGTTCCAGGTCACCCAGTGAGACTCTGTCTCAAAAACTATTTTATACATTTATGCACGTGTATGTCTAGGCATGCCAGCGTGTGGTACTCCAGGGAAACCCAGAGAACAACTTCTGGAATTAGTTCTTTCCCTTCGCTTTGAAGATACTGGGCAGCAAACCACAGGGCAGCAAACCACAAGTCATGAGGCTTTGTCACACAGCACCTTTACATGTTCAGCCATCACACTGGCCTGAGAGAAAGTCTTGGTCTCAAGTGTTAGGAATATTCTGGTCTGTATGGACTTTGTTTATTCTCTGTCTCTGTCTTTGTCTCTGCTCTGCCTCCAACCCCTGTGTGCAGGCCTATTTGTGCCATAGTGTGCCTGCCTCTGGAAGTCAGTAAACAACTCTAGGGTGTAGATTCTCTCCTGCCATCTTGTAGTCTCTGGGCATCAAAGTAAGGTCTGTGCACAGTGTCCGCCACCTGCTGACCATCTCACAGGTTCCTGTTCTTTTTATACATTGTCCTAGTCTAGATCCTTTGGTTCCATAGAAACCACCATTTAGAACCACCTTGTCAAAGTCTATGAAAATCTTGCTGGTGTTTTGATTTTTTTTTTAACATTTCTTAAAAAAGAATTCTCTTATTTATTATGTGTACTGTGTTCTGTCTGCATATATGCCTGCAGGCCAGAAGAGGTCGTCCAATCTCATTACAGACGGTTTTGAGCCACCATGTGGTTACTGGGGATTGAACTCAGGCCCTCTGGAAGAATTTGGTAGTGCTCTTAACTACCAAATCATCTCTCCAGCCCTGGTGTTTTGATTTTTACATTGACTCTGTAGATAAAATTGAGGAGAATAAGCTTCCTAGTTATAACAAATTTTCCAATTCACAAATATGTCATGAGCCTAATTTATCTAGATTTTCAATTTTCTTCAACATGATATTTCTTTTTTTAAAAAAATTAAATCCTTCTCATTTTAATTGTTTGAATAGAAATGTGCTATACATTTCCCCCACTTCAACATGATATTTCACAGTCTAGGCTAGAGTTTTAAATCTTGCTATTATTCACCTCTAACTTGTTATTTTGCTTCCACTATGCTAATCTGTTTCCTTTGGACAGAATACCGTGTCAGGTTTTTCCTTGCTCCCTCAATCAAGATATCTTTTTCCTTGCTCTTCATCTCTGTCCTTCCCCCATATCCATATCTACTGTCCTGTTTCTTTAAGTTCCCCTCTTCCCTTTTCTCTTCCTTCTCTTCCACCCTCCCTTCTCCCCCACCCCACATATTGTTATGGCCTTCTATACAGGCGCGTGCACACACACACACACACGCACATGCACACACACACACACACACACACACACACACACACACACACATTGTCTTCATATGGTTAGTAATAGGTTCCAGAGTCAGACAGTTTGGGTTGAATGCATAAAGCTTTTAATGTAGTTCCTGAATTGTGGGAGATCTCATAAGCATTGATGGTGTTTTGGTTACATGCACTGAATACACTGATGGGGAATTCCTTGGGAACAGTAACCAGTCTGGAAATAGACGTTGATGTATTATTCACTAGGAATTATTCTTCTGGACACCAAACTTTTATGAAATAAACTTGCATCACTTTGCTATTTCAAAAGGAAATTAAAGACAAATTTAATGCGTGACTGATATGTTTTTCTAGTCTTACGTTGCAGTGTCCTCAGAGGTGAATCTTATTGTGCTTTTTCTCCATTTTATCCCATTCGTGTCATTGTTGACTGAATCTTTATCTTATTCCCTCTATCCCATTACAAAGCTCAGTTATCATTGTCTGTGCAGAAATCTGTTCCTGTTAACAAGTGAGAATTGTTCCTGCTAATGAAAATTATGGATCACTGTGATAAGGAATTGTCTCTTATAAGTGTTGGGGTCTCTGCATATTGTAGTCTTTAATGTAATTTAGATGTGTTCTAGCTATATTACATATTATTTCAAAAGATAAAAACAAATCTGCCTATCAAGTAAAAATTACACCCACGTTATAGTACTTGTGCTATTACTGTTGTATAATCATTTTTTCTCTCTAATGATAGGTCCTTATATCAGAGAACTGGGTAAAGCCATGTGCCCCAATGATGGAAGCAAGTGATCTTAAAGCATCAATGCTAAAATCCTAACAGCAAACATTAGAATGGAGGCTTCCAGACCCAGACTGCAGCTGTAAGACAAACCGTGTAGTTGTTCAGGTTAACATGATGATTGTCTTCTTGGAGTTGTTTTTCTTAATTGTAGATCCTCTTAAGAATTTAAGCAAAATTGAATTTTTTTTTTAGTTCTTACTATCTGTATTCTTTGGAGAAAGGTTTGAATTAATGTATTAATATATGTGTGTGTGTGTGTGTGTGTGTATAATTATAGTACTGGACTCATGCAATTGTTAAAATTTCCAAAAAAAATAAAAAGGCAAACAGGCCGGGTGTGGTAATTTCTGCTTATAATCTGAGGACCTGGAAGACCCAGGCGAGGGATTCCGGGGCCTTCATGGACAGTCTAGATTACAGAGTGAGACCCTATTTTAGAGGAAAACAATGCAGGATTAGGAATTTGGCTCAGCTGAAAGGGTGCTGCCTAGCATGCACAAAGCTCTGGGTTGAACCCGGTGTGGTGGTTCGTGCCTGTGATGTCAGCACTTGGGAGATAGAAGTGAGAGGGTCAGGAGTTCAAAATTCTCCTTTGCTACTCACTTGGGCAGTTCAAGGCTAATACCAGCTGAGGGAGACCTTACCTAAAACAAACAAAAAGATAAGGAAAAAACAAACAAGCCAAAGACTTTCTACTGATTTTTTTCAGAAGCCAGGCACGTGCTGTGGAGCACACTACTTAGGCACAGTTTGGACCTTCTGATTTGGGGAAAGGGCTGTTTCTCCTTCAGTGCAGCAGAGCTGAGCTCTCCACACTCCTAGGCTTCAATGCATCAGGGTTGAGCTCTCCATTCTCCTAGGTGTTGCTACTTTAAAAGCCTGGCAGCTGCCATTTATTCACAAGCCCAGAAATTCAGGAGAACTGAAAGCTGTGCCATTCAATTAGAGTACACAAGCTTATATTCTCAGTACTCGGGAGATGTGGACAGGAGGATCAGGGCTTCAGAATGAGCCTACACAGTGAGATTTAGTCTAGCCTGCGCTACACAAACAAAACCCAAACAAACAAAAGCCCCCCCCAATAGTACTTACTAGATCTTATAGTACTTATTGTAAAGGAAAACTCTCACTTTCCCACCATAACAAAAGTCTTAGAAAAATGGAGACCCTGTCTCAAATCAGAAAAATAAAATAATATGGAGTGGCATTGCATTATATACCCGACATCCCTGTTATTTATTTATCTTTCAGTGGCAGCAATGATGTATTATATCCGAAATAAGCAGGCCTCCCAGAGTCTTCTTTCTTGTTCAATTTGTCCAGAGCTAGAAGTAAAAAAACAGAAAAGACAAGGAAGGCAGGTGTGTTTACTGTTGAAAAATCATTCTCTGAATGAATAATCAGCTTCCTAAAACGTGGTCGGAAAGGCTAATTTGGTATCAATGCTTATTATGAACTTCATAGTTGGTCACATATGATGTGATGCTATTATACAGCAACACAGGATATACTTGTGGTGGGTGTTGTTTGAGACAGTCTCACGCAGCCCAGGCTGGCCTCTGTTTCTGAGTACTGTTTCCACTTCTGCTTCTGAGTACTAGGATTATTGCTTATACATATTAAACCTATTTGATAGACATTAATTACATATTTTTTATTATAAACTATGTATTTATGCAAAGAGTTCTAGGATATATGTTTATGTATTTTTATATCAAAATCTTAGCCACTTTTATCTCTGGGTATTTAATGTAATTAGATATTTTTTCTTCCTTTTTTGAAAATTTGAGACATGGTCTTTGGTCACCTTAGGATGATCTTAAATTTACTACAGCTAAGGATAATCTTGAACTACTGGCCCCCCACTTACTCTACTTCCTAAATTTTGGGGATACAGGTATATAGCACATACTCAGATCAGAAATATTTAAGGTGATATTTTTATAACACTCAAGTTTTAAAAGCAAAGATAATGTATTATTTCTTTAACATTCATAAAACACCTTTCATTAAAAAAAATCCAGTGTGCCTATCATGAAACTTAGCCTTTGATTAAGACGTTTATCTCTTTTGGAGGGCTATATTTGAGGATTTAACTCAGTACGAGGGCATACTGGCTAAATAAATGCTCTATCATTGAGCATGCTATATCCCTAGCCCACATATATCCCTTAATAGGACTATGTCAAGATGAAAACCTAATGTTCATAGTTAATCTTTTTTGTAAGTCTTAGCTCTGTCCTACCACATTAAAATTGAGGACTGCACCCACACAGTTTCTCAACTGAATGTTGAGTCACTGACTTCCCAAGTTTCTCTGTACACAATTTTTTTAGTTTCTTAATAGTAAATCTCAACCATGTAAGTAAATTGCCAGTCATATGATCTCTATCAGAGGACATTGTGTGTGTTGAGGAAAAGGCAAGTGTGATGTTACTGTGCTCTGCTTCAGTCCCACGGCTTTCAGTGGTTCTTCTGGTGCTTTATGAGCTGTGTGCATATATGAACACAGTGATTTGAGCTCAGTCGGGGAGGCAAAGGTATTGACCTAGGCTTAGGGGGAGTAACAAAATGTAAATCATTGATTTGAAAGGATTTCTTCTGTCTACAGTATAGCATGGTCTCCTTGCTGAGTCGGTGGCCCTTCTTGCTTTTGTCCTTGGATTTGCTCTATGTACAGTTTCTATTTGTCATTAGGGTATTTCAAGAAAGAAAGGCATTGTAAAATGCACATGAAAGTGTTGATTACTTATAATTCTCACCAGAGCAGGGGAATCCCCTCCCCCATTGTGGCAGTCTGCAAATGGTTAAACCTGATGAAATACTAATGAAGAATTACAGTTATTTGTTTGACTTTGCCACATGGGACACTTGGCAAATGAGACAATTCATCTCAGTGTGAGCTGGTCTTATTTCTTAAAGAAAATTAATTAATGCAGTTTGTCTTCTTCCCATATCTTTGATTATATCCTTTTATGATATCCTCTCTTTCTTGCTTTCCTTTTTCCCTGGAAGTAGCTGTTTTCAGGCTTCCTTGTGTCTTCCAGCCCAATGAGTAAGAAGCAATTTTCCTCAGTGCAAGTGTGCATTTGTAATTTTAGTGCACTTTAGGCTAGACATTTGCACACTATCCCATGGGGAAAATCCTACACTAAAGCACAGCACTGCGCCAAAGCCTCTCTTCAGGTGATTTTAATAATTTTCTCTCACAGATGTCTTTGTTAGTCTTTACCTTCCCTTTGTGAATTGGGCTAGCCCTGGGTAAGCTCTGGGTTAACCCTGAGTTAGCACTGGGTTATCCCTGGGTTAGCACTGGATTAGCCCTGGATTAGCCCTGGGTTTGCCCTGGGTTTGCCCTGGGTTAGTTCTGGGTTAGCACTGGGTTAGCCCTGGGATAGCACTGAGTTAGCACTGGGTGCTCAAGCTTAAACTTGTCAATACTGATTCTGCTCTTAGCACCTCTGCTTTTTATGTAATGATCCCTATGATTTTAGGTCCACATCTTATGTGAAGAACAGAGGGTTCTATAATTTCAACAATTAAAACTGTATATGCAATTTCTTTTTAAGAAATGGTTAAAGCATTTTGTTACCGAATCTCTTTGAATATATATATATATATATATATATATATATATATATTTTCCTCCCACCCCACTGTGAATTTCTCATTTTAAAGATAGAGTAGCTGTATACTCATTTTCTTTCTCTTTTGATACTCATTTAAAAAATAAGATTTCAGAAAATCTAACTTCTAAATCCCTTCTAACATTTTTTTTCAACTCCACAGACCCAGTAAGGAATAAGTTTAAGAAGAATAAGATTATTGTCAGTCTTCTTCCATACCAGCATTGTATAAAATTTTTAATTGTGCTGACGAGAACATGAAGAATTGGCAAGAATATATTTAAAGGCAACTGAATGAGAAAAGATCTGGGAAATACAGGATGGAAGTGAAGTTAATTAGAAATTAAACAAATAATGCATGTTAAAATAGCAGTTTGTACATTCATATTTAAATTAAATAAAGGCTGTATAAAATGATTTTTATGGATTATTGTGGTTTCCAGACTGTTTTATATTGCATACAAGACTGCTGACTTAGTGCAGCTAAGAACGAACTGTTTGGCTTTAGTTGCTGTGTGAGTTCTAGCAATGGAAGGTCTTTGTTTTTCTAAGAAAATTCATCTCCTAATTTTCTTATCAGGCTAGGTTTTAGAATTACTGAGATCAATTAATCTACTAACCTTTAAGTACATTGACTCTATGCAGATTATAAAAATACTCATTATTGTTTGCCCTGGTAGTGATATTTGACAGTTGAAGGGATGGTAACCTTTAAAAATGAAATAACCTTTTCATAATATCATAGCTGAAAACTGACAAGGATACTAAAAATATACTGGACTTTAAGGGCCATTCTGTGGAGCCGTTTGTAGATGTTTTTATTCGAGAGATTTGCAGATACCGTGCTGTTAGGAGACAGATCAGACATATTGATCATGTTTGAGGAGTCATAAAATGACTGAGTCCTAAGAGGCAGGCGTGAGACAGGCGGCTGTTGTTTGCATGTTTTGCTGGGTGTCTCAGGTAAGTCTATGTGGTTTTATCATTCTGTATTGTTTGGGAAAGTTTCCTTTATGGCTGTATTAGGAGTTTAGTGTCTTTATTAGTTATTTTTTTCATTGCTGCCTCAAAATATGGACAAAAGCAACTTCTGGGCGTGGTGGCATGTCCCCCTTTAAAATAATTTATTTAATGCATATTGATGTGAGGGTACAGCTCCCCTGGAACTGGAGTTACAGACAGCTGTGAGCTGCCATGTGGGTGCTGGGAATTGAATCCTAGCCCTCTGGAAGGTCAGCCAGTGCTCTTACTGTTGAACCATCTCTCCTCCTTCCAGAAGCAATTTCTGGAAAGAAGAATATACTAATTACTTTTCTGTTGCTGTAAATTGGTTGTATGGTTCCAGAGGGTTAGAGTCCTTGATGGTGGAGGTGAATCAGTAGCATGGCAGGCAGGAACAGCTGAGAGCTCACATCTTGATCTGAGAGTAGGAGACAGAGTGCTGTAACTGGAAATGTCACAAGTCTTTTGAAAACTCAAAGCCCACCCTTAGTGTCAGACCTCCTCCAAAAAGGCCACATCTCCTAATCCTTCCCAAATAGTTCCACAAGCTGGAGACCAAGTGTTCAGACATATGAACCTATGGGAACCATTCTCTTTTAAAACATCACACGGGTTTGTCTGGGCTCAGAGTTCAAGAATAGAGTCCATCATGGTAGGGGAGGCAGAGAGAGGTGAAGGTGTCCTCAGCTTGTTTTCTCCTTTATGCTCAGTCTGGGTCATTTGGGACAGGTCTTCCCACTTTAGTTAATTCTAGAAACCCCTTCACAGGTGTAACCAGAGGCTTATTTTATTTCCTGGGTGCTGCTACATCTCATCAAGTTGACAATATTAACCTCACAGTGTCCATGGGGGTTGAGCCTTGATGTAGGACCTGGGGAATATGAAGGGAAATACTTATACAACGGAACAATAGATTTAAAAGTCTCAAGTTGGGGAAATATTTGAGGTTATGTCCCTGAGGCTTGCAGGTATGACTTAGAGAAGTTATAAGAATGAAAAAAGACCCATCTTGGGGTTGTGATAGGGTTGTAAAGCCTTCATATTAGTAGAGTTGTCATGGAGCAAGGAAGAAAGGGATTCTCTGTGTGCAGCATATGCGTGTTTGGGTTGTATAGTATGTATGGTGTGTGTGTATGTTTGTGTGTGTGGGTAATGTGTATGGGTGATGGTAGTGGTGGTATGTGTATGTATGGGTGGTGGTGTGCGTATATGGATGGGTGATGGAGTGTGTGTATGCATGGGTGGGTGGGTGGTGGTGGTGGTGTGTGTGTGTGTGTGTGTGTGTGTGTGTGGTGTGTGTGGTATGCATGTATGTGTGTGTATGGGTGGTGGTATGTATCAGGTTGACATTCACTGTCTTTCTCTATTGTTTTTCATCTTAATTTTTGAGACTGTAGTTGAACCTTGCCATTTCTGTAGACACCTGGGCTGTTGACCTTGGATCTGTCTTCCCAACCTTCTCCCTTTGAGGGGGTTATGGACATGTGACCCTTCAATTGTGGTTTTGTTTGTTTGTTTTTGGTTTTTGGTTTTTAATCAGGCTTTCTCTGTGTAGCACTGGCTGTCCTGGAACTCACTTTGTAGACCAGGTTGGTCTTGAACTCATATAGATATGCCTACCTCTGCCTCCCCAGTGCTGGGATTAAAGCCATGCACTACTACTACCTGGATGTCTAGTTTTTAAGTAGGTTCCTGGGATCTTCCAATCTTTGAAAGATATTCTTTGCAAGTCTGCAGAAAGCCAAGTTGTGTACCATTGTACCACTGTGTCCATAGGAGGTTCATTTCACAGCCTCTGCCATCCCTGAGTTGTCATTTGTTCAAGTCCCTTCCATAAATGGCATAGTGTTTATGTTTACATATAACTTGCACATCTCCTCACATTGAAGGTGTGTGTATCTGTGTGTGTGTGTGTGTGTGTGTGGTCACTGATAGTTATCTTTCTTAGTCTTGGTTTCTCTTGACAGTATGGCAGTGTTTATTCATAACCTATTTAGATTTTCTATGTGTTTTATAAGTTTGTATATTTGTGCATATTGTATAGTTGTATGATCACTGATGTCACTTTATCTTTCTAAGTCTTAGTTTTTTATATTCAAAATGGGAATGTTTACTCATAAGATTGTGTAGTTTCTGTGTGTGTGTGTCATATACATATATGTTGACAAGGGTTTCTGTCCTGCCCAGTTTCTGCAGTCATTAAGTCCCAAAGAAATCACACAGAGGTCTACATTAGTTATAAACTGATTGGCCCATTAGTTCAAGCTTCTTATTAACTCTTGCAGCTTATATTAGCCCATTATTCTAGTATATGTTAGCCACATAGTTCGGTACCTTTTTCAGTGGGGAAAGTCACATCTTCCGTCTGGGCAGGACTGCAGAGGAATGGGCTTCCTCCTTCCCAGAATTCTCCTGTTCTCATTGACTCACCTCTACTTCCTGTCTGGATGTCCGGCCTATACTTGCTACCTGGCTACTGGCCAGTCAGTGTCTATTTGAAGCATAATTGACAGAATATAGACAATTATCCCGCACCACTACTTCCTATTTATTTATTTATTAAAAATTTCCACCTCCTCCCCACCTCCCATTTCCCTCTCACTCCCCCCATTCCCCTTTCCCCTCCCTCTCCAGTCCGAAAAGCAGTAAGGGTTCCCTGCTCCGTGGGAAGTCCAAGGTCCTCCCCCCTCCATCCAGGTCTAGGAAGGTGAGCATCCAAACAAACCAGGCTCCCACAAAGCCAGTCCATGCAGTAGAATCAAAACCCAGTGCCATTGTCCTTGTCTTCTCAGTCAGCCCTCATTGACAGCCACATTCAGAGAGTCCGGTTTGATCACATGTTCCATCAGTCCCAGTACAGCTGGCCTTGGTGAGCTCCTGTCAGATCAGTTCCACTATCTCAGTGGGTGAACACACCACTCGCGGTCCTGACTTCCTTGCTCATGTTCTCCTTCCTTCTGATCCTCATTTGGACCTTGGGGGCTCAGTCCAGTGCTCCAATGTGGGTCTCTGTCTCTATCTCCATCCATCGCCAGATGAAGGTTCTATGGTGATATGCAAGATATTCATCAGAGTGGCCATGGGACAAGGCCAGCTCAGGCACCCTCTCCTCTGCTGCCCTAGGAACAAGCTGGAGACATCTCTTTGGACCTGGGAACCCCTCTAGAGTCAAGTCTCTTACCAACCCTAAAATGGCTCCCTTAATTAAGATATCTACTTCCCTACTCCCATATCCACCCTTCCTCCATCCCAACCATCCCATTCCCCCAAGCTCTCCCCAATCCTCCTCTTCTCCCTTCTCCCTCCCCATCTCCCCTTACACCCACCCCACCCCCACTCCCGTGCACCCAACTTTTGCCTGGCAGTCTTGTCTACTTCCAGTATCCAGGAGGATAACTATACGATTTTCTTTGGGTTCACCTTGTTTAGCTTCTCTAGGATCATGAATTATGGGCTCAATGTCCTTTATTTATGGATAGAATGTACTTATGAGTGAGTACATTGTTTTCTGTGTTTCCTTTTTCTTGATTTCAGCCCTCAGTTTGATTATTTCTAGTCTTCTACTCCTCTGGGGTGAATCTGCTTCTTCTTTTTCTAGAACTTTCAAGTGTGCTGTTAAGTCTCTAATGTGTGCTTTCTCCATTTTCTTTATATGGGCACTTAGTGCTATGAACTTTCCTTTTAGCACTGCTTTCATAGTGTCCCATAGGTTTGGGTATGTTGTGTCTTTATTTTTGTTGAATTCAAGGAAGACTTTGATTTCTTTATTTCTTCCTTGACCTAGGGGTGATTCAGTAGTTGACTGTTCAGTTTCCATAAGTTTGTAGGCTTTCTGGGGTTAGAATTGTTATTGAATTCTAACTTTGTTCCATGGTAATCAGATAGTACACAGGTGGTTACTACAATTTTTTGCATCTATGAATGTTTGCTTTGTTACCAATTATGTGATCAATTTTTGAGAAGGTTCCATGAGATGCTGAGAAGAAGGTATATTCTTTCCTATTTGGGTGGAATGTTCTATAGATGTCTGTTAAGTCCATTTGGTTCATTACATCTCTTAATGTAATAATTACATCTTATTTCTCTGTTAAGTTTCTGTCTGGTTGACCTGTCCATTAGTGAGAGAGGAGTGTTGAAATCACCCACTATTAGAGTGTGGGGTTTGATGTATGCTTTGAGTTCTACTAATGTTTCTTTTACATATGTGGGTGCTTTTATATTAGGGGCATACATATTCAGGATTGAGGCTTCCTCCTGATAAATTGTTCCTGTTATGAGTATAAAGTGTCTCTCTCCATCTCTTCTGATTGATTTTAGTTTGAAATCAATTTTGTTAGATATTGGTATAGCCACACCCACTTGTTTCTTTGGTCTATTTGATTGGAAAACCTTTTC